GTGGGGGGGGCGCGGCCCCCCCCCGAGGCATTATGGGAGTTGTAGGCCGGGAGGGGAGGGGGAGCATCGTTATCCCCTTCAAATGCTTCTGGGGGGGGGGGGGGGTTCATCGTCGTCCCCCCCACCCCGACTCCCACCTCAGAGCTTTGCTCAAGGCCGAGCCGGCGCCTTCTCACCTCAGTCTCTCGCTTTCCTTGCAGGCTCCAGCTGAAGGCGAGGCAAAGGAGGAGGTAGGAGCCGCTTCTTTCCGTGCGGGTCCCCTCTTCCCCCAAGACTTTTTGTGGTGCTCCACATAAATTACCAGGCCTGAGGGTCTGCGGCTCCCGGGGGTGGGTGCAGGCTCGAGTTTTGGGGTGCTGAGGCCCATCCTTTGGCCTGTCGCCTGCGGTGGGCGCAGGGCGGCCCAGTTGCCCTGCTGGTCTGAGGTCAGAGGCCACCAGTTCCACCGGGAGCGTGTCCCCTTCAGCCTTGCCAACAGCTCGGCGACGCAGCCTTCACGGCACGACTCCTGGAAATAAACTTTTATCACCGCCTCAGTGGGGTAGAAGGGCGGCAGCACAGACTGCGAGCTATCGGAAGTCATCCCCATAATGCCCCTAATTTCATAAATCCTAGGATTTGTGTCTGGGGTTTCATGGATGTGCCGTGTTATTCTGGGTTGCAGCTGTGAGAAAGCGCTGCTTTACCTGCTCTCTGAATTTTAGTGACATGTCTTTCTTTACGCAGCCAAAGAGAAGGTCAGCTAGACTATCCGCTGTAAGTATCTTTATTTACTCTCTTAATATGACGTCCCGTGGGATGCTGAGTTCAGTTACGGAGAAACTATTTGTTTGCTTCCATTGGTATTCTGGAAGGTGTGGTTAGAGTATTGCAATATTTAAAAGTAAAATTCCTATTCTATGTTTCCAGTCCCGGAGTATCAACACATTACGCTTATTTGTAGACGTTTCACATGAGATATAACACCGGTGTTAGCTCACATCCCGTCTGGACGCATGAGTGTCCACAGTCAGGGAATACTGGCTCCAAGATGGATTTGTTCTCTGTAGGTCTCTGTGCAGATAACTGCTTATAGCTCTGCAAACTACCCGCTCTCTCCTCATACTTGTAATTTGCCCATTGGTTTTGAGGGTTCAGCTGTTGGGTAAACTGGGACCTAGAGGGTGTAAATCTGTATTATGCAGTAAGGTTCAGCCTCAAAGCATCATTTTCTACAGACGCTTAGTGCACCCAGCCCTTTTTAAAGCCATCTTGGATATGCCAAGTGGGTAACAGTTGCTATTTAAAAAAGAAAGTACTCGATTTTAGTGAAAGCTAAGATGTATGTTCATACATAGAGTTATGTCCAAATGTTAATACCTTTCATTTTTGACACACGCTTGCCTTCACAGCAGACAGCAACACCCAGACACTGTAACGATCCACTTACTACTACTGTCAGCAACTGTGCCGTAACCGCCGTGAGGAAACGTGGGTTTGGACCAAACATGCTGATCTGTCTCTGACCTTTATAGTACAGAATGAAACAGACATCTCTAAACTATTTTTTGTTTGAATAGTTTTCAAAAGTTACCAACATATTGCTAAAACATTTACAGCATTCATCTGACTCTGTTTCTTATGATGTTTTGTACAGAAACCTGCTCCGCCTAAACCGGAGCCAAAGCCCAAAAAGGCAGCACCTAAGGTAAGACTTCGAGATCTCTTGAACTGAAGTGACACTTTTCTTTCTTTAAGGTGTTTATAGGGGCGGGGAAACATCCACAACTAACCATTTTTGGTTTTCATCGTTTTCTTTAAAGATTTAAGATTGAATGATGGGAGTTAAAAGAATGTGAAAGAGGTAAAGATAGTTTTATCCAACTCCTAGTGAAGGGACGTGGTAAACTGAACAGATTTTAAATCAGTTGTGGTGAGGCTTTACTGCTTGCCTTGCAGGGCTGTTCTGGAGCTTCATATAATGCCTTGTTGGGAAAACCATGCTTTGAATAGAGATCAGAGACTCAAATAGAGAAGGCATTGAAAATCGTGCTTTCAATTACCATTTCTTATGGTTTCATTCAAAGGCACCCTTTTCGGTTAGTTATCAGTTTGTCACATTTTAATCACTGGAGATAAAGTTCTAGTTTTAATCACTGGAGATAAAGTTCTAGTACTGGTTTCCTTAAGCTGGATATTTTTTGAAATGGCAAAAATATTGGCATATCTGACAGGATATTTACGAAAGAAACTATTTAAAACTCCTTTTTGCTTTGCAACAGTTTGAAATTTAAAAAGGGGACACTTCTGCAATCCATGAGGTATTTCTTTATACCGTGAGGTATTTTTTGATAACCCCCTTCCTCTCACAAAATCCCCCAGTGGTCACAGTTGCAGTGCTTTTTATAGCTCTGTCTGTAAATATTCAGATTGTATTAGGATTTTGCAACTGGAGGGGGGGGGGAACCTAACAACAACAAAACTTTGGATTCTTTTTAACCTGTTCCCATCGTCCATTTTGCGTTGTGGTTTCGGGTGGTCGTAGGGGCAAAGCACAGGTGCGAGAGATGCTTGAGTTGCAGAAGGGGGTGACGGGCTGGGAACCTGGAGCTCTTTTCTGTACGTTTAAAAGGCCTCCCGATTGCCTACGGCACAGCAGGCTTCCAGATGTGGAGAACTGCTCTACCTCCCAAGCCCTGCTACATGGAGCAGCAGAGCTGTCAGGAGAAGCGGGCAAGGAGGAGAACCCCGCTTGTCGTTTCGGGGACCCTGTGTCTCAGCTCTGTAAGGGCGGTGGTGGGCAGAGCGAGTTTTTCACATCTGTGCCTTGGTGGTGTGGCTGGATTTGGAGATCCCATTCCAGAGCGGCAGGGGAACCCAGGGACCCTGCTGCTCTGCATTCCTGTGGCGCGAGCGCTGGCACACGCTGGGTTGTGTCGAGTGGCTGGTCCCCGGGAAGAGGAGAGCCTACTGCTGGTGGCTGCTCTCGGCCCCAGTGGCAGGGAGCTGGCTTGGGCATCTGGAAGTCCTGACGTCAGCCTCTGCTGATGGCCCGTGCAGAGGTCAGTGCAGTAGCAAACGACGCACGTTGTTGAGTTTTGGTTTTGTTTTTTTCTTTTTCATTTTTACGGAGACATCTCACAAAAGCTCCATTAACCGAACCTTAAAAGTTGTGAAAGTAAGCTGAGGACTGTCAAAACTCAGGTTTGGTCCCTTACTGTATGGCACAGCCTCCATCTGGGACCACGTACAGCTCAGTTCTGCAGGGAGTGGTGCCTCGGTCATTGCCCTGCGTGTTGCCCCCCAGTTGGACTGGGACAGCATTGGTCCTCTCCCTTCTAAGGTGCTGCTTTGTACCCACGATACTTGAGCTGCATTTTTGGCTCTCTAGAGCTCCTAATACTGGATCAGTATCTGCGTGAAGCGAGATGTAGTAAGACTTGTGCAGGCATCTTTCATTTTTGTTCCCCCCCAAATGCTTAACTTCACAACCTTTGAGTTCTACGATTGTTTTTCTGTGCATCGGAATAGATTTCACCTTTTAAACTTAACCATCTTAAAAAATGTAGAGCTGGGAAAAAAGTTTTAGTGCTTTGTAAAACACGTGACCTTACTACTGAATTGATGTTGCCATCTGTATAGGAAAATTAATACAATGGTATTAGCTCAGAACTAACCAAGAGGAGGGAAGAAGCTTGGAAATGGAAAACCAACATTGTCTCCTTGGGTACTTTATTCCCTGGACTCACTGGGTTGTGGAAGGGGGCTCGATCCCTTACAGAAGAGCCGTCAGCTTGTCCCCAGAAGCCACAGGCCTTGCAGAACAGAGCAGAGATCCAAGGATCCTCACTCACAGCTGTGTGCTGCCAGGCACTTTCTCCCCAGTCAGTCCAGCTGTGGAAACCAGTTTCTGTGCATCCTCCTCAAAGGCTTTCTTAAGAGGGGCTTGGCTAGTGAAGAATGGTCTGCAGAGAATTCCACTTTTAGCTCTGTTAATACCTTGTTGTCTTTTTTCAATGGGGTGCAGGAAAAGATACCCTTCTTCAAACAACCCCGAGGCTTTAAAAATCCTTTACGGCTGACTTTGGACGAGTGACTTAACACACCCGTGCTCGTGGGTTTGGCGCACGCCGGTGCTGCAGGAGGAACCCTTCACAGTGCACTACTGGGCTGTGCTTCAAAGGGCTGATGAGCTCCGTGAGAGCAAGCCAGTACCACAGCAGCACTGCAATTCTAAATCTTACTGCCAAACAGTACCAGAATACTTGGGTGCTGATATTACTGTGATATTTCTCTTTTTTCTGCCTCTATTGAAAGTTGGAGGACTGTTCAGTCAACGGAGGGAAAAAAGAGGGAGTGGAGGTGTACTCTTCTCTTTGCTCCTCTGGTGACTGTCTTCCATCTCTCGGAAAGAGCCACTGCCCATCGCTGAGAAGTGGGTCCCCAGAGAGGAGGAGAGGCTCGCTGAGGGTGGGCGCAGCCCGGGAGAAGGGGGCTCCTGCCACCTCAGCAAGGTCAGACCGGAGACCGGGAGGTTAGAGAGGAAAGAGACCCTCACCCATGTGAGTGCTGCTCACCCCCCATGTGACATTTTCTGCATTATTATAGGAGTTGGTGTTAATTTTGGTGAGTTTGTCATCATCAGCATCACTGAAGAATCAGGTGCCTTTGCTCCCTGAACTCTGTGTCTGAGTTTACCCCTAGCCAGCAGCTCATTTTCAATGTGAATTAATTTTGTACGCTAATAAGCAAGGTGTTGAAATAAGAAAGTAATACTTTTTGTACCTTCTAGTCACCGAGACAACTCCATCTTCTGAGTGGATAGATATTTTCAGCAATTATCTGTTTATCTTCACTTCCCTGTGAGTAGTAATTCTGCAGATATTTATGGTTCCGTTGTTGGAACTGGGTTAATCAAGCGAGGAACTAAGGTAGTTTGCTTAGTGCAGTTACTTAACTGGCAGCAAGAGGCAGATCCTCAGAACTGAAACTAATGAGAGTTGTGCTGGTTACAGTATTGGGGTCGGGATCTGACTTTGCCATATAGAAAACTTGCTACAGGACTTGTAGCCTCAAGGTTTGTTGTTTTGTTTTTTGTTTTTTTTTTTATTTAGCCTGATCCACATATAAGAAACTTAAATAATAAATTCAAAGTTCTTGTTGTTATTGAAGTGATGCTGTTGAGCCCCCAACTTGTCTGTCACACAAATGGTTTATTATAGTAAGGAATATTTCTGGCAGGGAAAGGGGAGAGTCCCTTGACTACAGCTTTGTTACAGTTTTCTAAATAGGCATTAATAGCACATCTGAAGTATTCTGGTATTTCCACTAGTTGTACATGTTCTTTTTGTTCTGTGGTATGCCTTTCAGCAGCACAGCAGAAATACAGGCCAGTGCAACTCCAACATTTTTTAGCTAATTTAATTGAATGCCTATTTAAAATAGGAATTCTTTTAACCCCGGCCGTGGCTGCTTTTATATTACGCATTTCCCAGTAGCACATTCAGGACAGAACAGAAGGAAAGCATTTCTCCTTGGAAACTTCCATCTCATCTTTGTCAATAGGAAGTTCAGGGTGTAGAAGCAGGTTGTGTCGGTGGTTTTGGAGCGGAGAATGTGCCTGTGCAGATGGACGAGGTGGAAATCAGTCTTTACCCTATCGCGGTCTGTTTTCTTAACAGAAAGAAAAGGCGGCAAATGATAAAAAGGAGGACAAAAAGGCAGCAACAAAAGGGAAGAAAGGAGCCAAAGGCAAAGATGAAACTAAACAAGAGGATGCTAAAGAAGAAAACCACTCTGAAAACGGAGATACCAAAACTAATGAGGTACTTTAGCTACAGTAAACACGGGAATAAACAGAGATGTGTTGGTTATACCTCTGCAGGAGCTAAGGATGTGCCTCCTTGTCAGAAGGAGGTGTGTTTACTGCCGACCAGCAGCAGTATCTGCGCGGGGCAGCTCCCAGGGAGAGCCTGAAATCATGGCATTCTCCTTCAGACCCGCTCCCGCTGTGCGATAGAGCCCTTCCGCAGGTGGTCTGTGCTGTCGTAGGGTCCCTGGCGGGGTCGGCACAAGAGCAATGCAGAATATTTGGGGAACAATAGGGCTCAGTAAGATCGCTATCCAACCCCGAGCTGACTTTGCATATCCTCTCTGGACTGCTGGATTGCCTCTTCTGCTCAGCACGGGTTGGGACTGGGCCAGAAATCTGGTTTTCAGTTTTACACAATTCTTTAAAAACAATTCTTCGCCTCAGAACAATTCAACCAGAGATCTGCAAAATAAACGCACTCTTGTCTCTTGATCTGCAAGCCTCTTTCTTACAGGTTCTTACTGCATCAGCCACTTCCCTAAGAGCTGCCATTTGCTAGGACTAGGCGCCAGCTTCAGCCAGCTCCCGATGGCCTTTTCTTAGCAGATTTCTTACTGATAGTAGAAGCGCAACGTTTGCCACGGGCTCCCTTTGCCCCTGTAGGCACAGACCAGCCTGTTGTGTTCTCTCTGGTTTTTGACTGAGAGTGATCTCTCTTCATGTTGTTGAGTATCATTATCCAGTTAATGGGTTGTGTATTCTTCCATTTTTAAAACTAATTGAGGAGCTTTGTTACAAAATTAATATGGGGCTAATGTACTTTGCAGGATCTTTGGTAGGAGCTTTGCAATTTTGGTGTGTTGCTATAAAAAGTAATAGCAGACGTTTTTACAGAAACCAGGTGAGAAGCAGTTTCCCCAAAGTTTGGATGATAGACAAGTATCGTGGCTCGATGTGTAATTCTCACACTTCCTTGTGACTTACGGAGATGAGGACTTGAACTTTCCCTAGCATTGATCCTTATCGAAAGCAGGTTCTAAGCCTCTGCCTCTTTGGAGGCACTTTACATTCCAAAACCAACTTGATAATTATTTAATACTCATAGGTGGTTTAATTTTTAGAGTTCTCAGCTGACACGTCGTTGGGTTGATACTCCCTGTAGTAGCTGTGCGTTCTTGTCTATCTACACAAAATGTTGTCCATGTGTGTGCTAACGAACTAGTCTCTCTTTGATGCTTGTTAGAGTGGAATCCAATTAGCATTACGAATAATATTTCTATTCTTCCCAAACACTTTTATAGGCACCAGCTGCTGAAGCATCTGATGATAAGGAAGCCAAGTCCGAGTAATGTTAACCCTGCCCTATATCTCCATCATTTGGTATCCGTACCTCCATGCTGTATTGTTAACAGAGAGGAATATTTTTATCAACTATTTTATAAATGCAGGTTTTTTTAGCATGAATTTAATTATGGAACATCTTCATCTCGGTTACTTGGGAATTAAATCCCTAACAAACAAAACAAAACAAAACAAACAAAAAAAAAATCATTGTTTTTAAATTTTGTGATTGTAATAGTTTGTATGGTACATGGAAAGAATAAGTGGTGGTAGCTTTTGACTTCTGTCAGTGTGTCCCTTTTTGTGTAAGTCATGCTTACAGACTTCAGATTTTAATTTTTCCCTTGTATGTGTTGTATGGTTTCTTAAAGTGGGGAGGTCTCAAAACAAATAACCGTGTTAAACATTCCAGTGGTTCTGTGGGTTGCTTTTATAAAGAAGGTGAGCTATTTTCATGAAAAACCTAAGAGCTGGAAATCTGTTGTTTCCCAAATGTAATTTTATTTTGTCAGTTTTGAAAAAAAAAAAATAAAGAAATAAAAAAGTGTAATCATGTTTTTAAATGAAATACAAAACATTTCTTTTAAAAGGGCAGGTTGGTTGTATGTACCCACTGTTAGGAATTTTGCTGGATTTATCTTAATAAAAAAGACTCCTCAAAATCTGATTGTGGTTTGTCGCTTGTGCCGCAGCCCTGGCGCTGGAAAGCCGCCGCAGGCCGGGAGAGCTGCGGTAGCGCAGGGCTGAGGGCTGAGGGACCCTGTGCCGCTGGAAAACGAGACCTTGGGCCCCCCCTGACCCGCCCAGCCTCCGCACCCGGGAGCAGGGCGCTGCCCAGGGAACGGGCAGCTCTGGTCGCTTCCTCCAGCAAAGGTGGGATGCTTGGTGTGCTCCGGGGCGCTGTAGACGGGGTTCTAAATTCTGAAGGGTGTCCTCTGGTTTCACGGGCCAGTTAATTCCAGTTTGGAGCGGGGTTCTCCCCCCTTAGAAATACTGCAGAAAATACTGCAGCGACTGCCACGTTCGCACCAAACCCTTCCTGGCATCAACCACTTTTCTGTTGGTGTGGGAACGTTCCTAGTCCTGGTTAAAGTGCATACTTCCACAGCCTGTGTATACTTTTCTTCTTTAAAACATGTTTTACTCACAAAATGTTTTCTTGGACTCGCCTTCCCCCTCGCATGACTACGTGTGTGTGTGCAGAAGTGCTTTCCGCAATGCAAGTTCCTGCAGGAGATGGCAGCTGGACTTGGACAGGAGTTCAGAGAGGCTTTAGCAGTGGTTTTACCTGGCCTCATTTTGCTACAGCTATTCTGTGCAACTTTTTCAAGGACACTTCAAATTTCCCTCTTAAAGCCTCCTTTTATATAAAGCCTCTTCACATTGATGATCAAATATATAATATATTTAATAAGAAGAAAAATGTCTGCAATGCAGAAGCCTTATCTTTGGCATTAAATTGTTTCGCAGCCCAGAAATGTGAAATTCCAAGAGCTCACATATTTTATCTCATACCCCAAACCTAACTCAGCGTCTCAGCGCAGAGTGGCTTGGATGAAATGTGTGTTCCAGGATCGATACCCCAGGGCGCTGCCTACCAGATGATGTTTAATGTGGATTTAATTTTCGAGGCCTAAAGCACCGGGGATTTTTATT